AATATTTAAAAAAATTTGATCCGTTGTGGGGAGGTACCAGAAGGAGTGGGCCGATATATTTAATCTTCACGCCAGATTTTTTTTTTAGTAAAAATATTTGGATGTGTGTATTTTGAAGAGAATCGGATGCTTATTTCGCGTTTTTTTCGAGCATTTTGGTTAATCAACATTTTGACCCCTTTCGAGGGGGAGATACCAGAGGGAGTGGTCCGATATTCCATATTCACACAAGATCTTGTGTTAATAGAAATATTGAAATATGTGAAATTTAAAGAGATCGGTTGCTTATTTCGCATTTTATAAAATTATAATTATTTATAAATTTTGACCCGCTGTGGGGGAGGTACCAGAAGGAATGGAGGAATATATTTCATCTTCACATCAGATCTGGTGTTAATAGAAATAATGATATGTGTGGAGTATGAAATGAAGCGGATGCTTTTTTCACATTTTAGGTGCATTTTGGTTATTCAAAATTTTTGAACCCTTTTGTGGGGGGGTAGCAGAAGAAGTGGATCGATATACTACATCTTCACACCAGATCTTGTGTTAATAGAAATATTAGGATATGTGAAATTTGAATAGAATCGGATGCTTATATCGCTTTTTATCAGAGTTATGATTATTCATAAATTTTGACCCGCTGTGGGGGAGGTACTTGAAGGAGTGGGCCGATTTTATCCGTTTTCCCACCTGACGTAGCACTGATGAAAATATTACGATTTGGTAAGTTTGTACAAAATTGGATGATCCTTTCATGTTCTATGACGTAAATTATTTTCTGTGAAAATTTTCACCTTTTTGTGGGGTAGCTACCAGTAGAAGTGGATTTATATTGCCCATCTCCGATCAAAGTTTTGATAAAAATATTACTACTTTATCAAGTCGGATACTCCCTTCTTAGATTAACGTGCGCACCAGTCAGCCAGACGACCGGACGGACATTACCTTTTACATGTTTCCAGCATCCTCAATGAATGAGCATACTGCGTATTTGAACGGACCATGTCTCATAATCAGAGCAGAGATTTACTCATTTTCACTCAGGATCGAAACTTGCTCGTGAGCAGGGTTGCTCGAAGAGAAGGGTTTTCAAAGGAGTCTACGCCCTACCTCATTATTTTGGAGTGTCGAAGCACTCCCAACTCACTCTGTTTGAAAAATAAGAGCGAGAGCAGAATCGCTCGAAATAGAGCAAGAGTTCGCTCTCAGAGTGGAATGAGTGTAAGAAATATTTTGTTTTTGGATTTGATTTTAATTTAATGTTGCTGTGTGCTGTAGAAGAGAGAGAAGACGGGGGAGAGGAGGAATAGGTGCCGAGCCAAAAATTAAAAGAGTGCTAGGCCTGAGTAGAATCTGTCCGATTTTGAACGAATTTTGGTCTCCCTCAAAAACTAGCAAAATATGCTTGCCTTTACCACACAATCCAATTCCGTCTAATGTTGACCACAACGTCGTGGGTCCATAACCGTTTGGGAAATAATGTGTATTTTTTTCTTATAGTAGCAGGACTACAGCCAGGCCTTGAGATTTTATGGGACATCGCCAATCAAAGGTTTTTAAATATTAGGGCTTGAAACTTTCGTCTCTGGGGAATGCCCAACACCGGTTTCGTAAAATAAATTCATTCTAAGTGGGCGACCTTTGGCCGGTGCTTGAGATTTTCTTCTCTGAGATATGTCCAACACCGGCTTCGGGAACCGAACTTTACTTAAATTTAATCTTTTTTTAAACCAAACAATATAAGGAAGGTCTTTTTAAAAGTTGAAGCCATATATCTCGGAAAGTATAGATCCACCTCCTGAAACTGTTTTATTGTTGTAATCAGGATACAAAAACCTACCTGTAGTGGTAGTTTAAAGTTTTTATTTCGATTCTCGGGGTATTTTTGCAACTTTGGAACCCTATATCTCGGGAAATATAGATTCGAAAATATTTCTGTCGCTGTGATTAGGATAGCACGATCTACTTTCGGTAAATATTTCAGAATTTTCCGCCAGCCTGAGCTAAACTCAATTAAGCCAAAATAAAAAACGTCTGGAAATTCTATAAATATATCGGCCTTGAAAGAATTTTCAAACTGATTTTTTCCTTTAAATTCTCTAACCACCCTCGTCTACAGATTACCTAGTGGTTTCCCTTTTAACGCAATGACGACGCCATAGGAGCTACTTTTGCCAGTCCATTCATTCATTCGGTTGCTCGTTCGTTCATTGAGGCATTCACTAGTAGTTTAAGTTTGATGTTGTTGTTGTTATTGCTGCTGTTGTTTTACGTACGGCGGACGCTTGCAACGTACCATGGATGAGAATGCGAATGTTGAAATTTTAACTTGAAAAAAAAAAAAAAAAAAAAAAAAAAACAAAAGCAAAACAAAACAAAGAAACGAAAATTGTGGCAAGGTTTCTTTCATGGTTTTTTAATTACCAAAAATACTGAAGTATGTCTGTCCGCCCCACAGTACCTCCCTCTACACAGCTTGATTGTATATAAAACTATAATGTAAATCATGAGATATACTCACAATTTATATAGTTTAAAAGCCTTATGACGTGACGTTGCCAGTCTCTTCGACACAATGAAAGGAAAAGAGAAAAAAAAATCAGGAAAATTTACCCAAGGTAAGAGGTAAAGAAAATGGAAATGATATTCAATTTGCAAAGCCAGCCGAACACAACAAACACCAGCAGTGGCAACAACATTTAGTGATAAATACTCATACTTTTAGAGCTATGTTTGTAATTATTATGTGTATTATTCATTTGCTTCTTCTTCTTCTTCAGCTCGTGTCCCGCTTCACGACAGATAGTAATTTCTGCCATTCATTTCATAGTTGAAATGGAGACTTTCTTAGTTGTAATTGAAAAATTACCCTCAATAAGAAAATTAAATGAATGACGAATGGATAGAAATTAATTTGAAAACGGCATAGCCAGCGAACAACAGAAAAGTGAAAAGCGTTTATCGAATTGGCTTGTGTGCAGCGGGTTGATACGTTATTGAGGTTATGGTGGATAATGAAAATCATGTTTGTAGGTTATTTGGAAAATGGAAAATGAATTCTAATGATTTTTCAAGGCTTAAATTAAAGTCGATTTTTTAAAAAAATAATAGGCTAGAGAATGTGGAGATCTTCCGATCCAATGTGATTATCCTGTGCGAAAATAAAAGAAAGGAGGAATAAAAGCTGAGAGTAGTGAAAGGTGATAGATCCATAGACAAATGAAAATATAGATCGCCTATCATTGAAAAATTCGGATCAGTAGATGTCGTCTTGTCGTCTCTAGGGTATGAGTGAAAATATTGAAGTCACTCAATTCTAAAATGTTAAAAATATTATGAACCGTACGATATTTGAAACATACGGAATCTTTCATGTGAAATTCTTGAAGTTGAGTAGAAGTTGAGTAGATCGACAGCGGCAATCAGCATGTGACTATGCAAAAACGTGCTGAGAGCCATCTGCATAAAAAACAGAACTAAATTTCCATTGTCTATATTTTCATTTGTCTATGATAGATTTTGTTCAGAAGGAGAAAGGATGGGGAAAGCAGAATACAGATTTGCTCATTTTCACTTGTGAGCGAAACTGGCTCGCGAGCAGAATTGCTCGAAGAGGAGTATACTCTCACTCGTTGGTTTTGTATGGGAACACTCCCGACTCACTTCTGTTTGAAAAATTAGAATGAGAGCAGAAGCGCACAAATAGAGCAAGAGTTTGCACTAATAGTATAAATGATTGGAAAAAATATTTGGTTTTCTGATTTGTGTATCGTGAAGAGGAGGGAGAAGAGCTCAGAAGAGGGGGTGGTGGGGAAGATGGGGGTGTAATCGTACACAGGAAAAATACACACGTAGAAATAACAACGGTATGACAAAAAAAAAACAAAAGAGTGCTCGGCAAGAGTAAATTCTGCTGATTTCAGACGACTTTTGGTTACCACTCAAAACCGAACATCGACAAATTGAGTTTGCTCGATTTTTTTCTGCTCCCAGGACCTCTGCCGCTCGAATTCGAGTGAGTTTCACTCTTTACACATATTCGAGAGAGTATTTCGGAGCTCTGGAGAAAGGCGTCGAATAGTTTCGTGTTTTAACTCCAGCGTCAGAGTCGGTAAAGCCTTTTTTAGAGTTACAGATGACAAAGAGATCCATGTCTGAATGTGCGCTGAGATCATGAATCGAATGTCGTTCCCCTATAGCTTATACTCCTCTTTCCCTTCATAGAGCAGGACAGTGACATAAAATGTGTTCAATTGTTCCATTCTTTTCCTTTCTCATCCACATTCTCACACAATCTGCAGTATTCGACGTTAGAGTTATCCCATTTGAATGTTCTTGATTGGATGTTGCCTTGTGTATATTTTTTATCCCAACATGGTACTAAATTTGGTACAATTTGGTTTTGGTTGAACGGATTGATCTGAACGTTTAAAATGTTATATGGGGTCCTCCTGGTGGATAGGGTTACAAAAGGTACTAAATGACACTTAATTTGGTATTGCGTGAACGGATGCTGTTTGAAGTTTGAAAATTGGCATTAGAATCAGTGCTGGGTGTAGGGTTGAATTTGGAGGGGATTTTGGAAATACGTACAAAAAGTAATGAATGGTACTAAATATTAAAATTTGGTATTTGGCTAAGAGATTGAGTTGGAAATCTAAAATTTGGCATTAAGATCTTATGTGCGTTTGGTTGATACATGGCGGGGGATTTGGAAGTGCTAAAAGTACGAAAAGTGTTATAAGTACGAAAAGTGCTAAATAGTATTAACTTGGTATTTGGGGAAGGG